CACCATTATCATAATATCATTTTCAGGAAACAAGCAAAAACTCTGAGAGAAAGAGAAAAGAGAGAAAACTGTTATTCAATAAAAGCCTTTTCTTCTTATTCTCATTCAATAAACTTTCCTAACAAAAGGGTTCACCATGAATTATATAATAACTGGTTCAATGGATGGTTCAGTATTGAATCACATTTGATGCACAGATGATGATCACTAGACTGACGATGAAAATGAAGACAAAATTAGCATCAAATGAAAATGCAGAACCAACGAGTTGATTAAAAGATTCAAAGGTCTTTGTTATTGCAATAAGTTATTGGTCGAAAGGACAAAAAAATTGATATCGAAATAACCACAAAGTTTTGCTTTCAATCGAAGTTGTGAAAAAATCGCAAAACAAGCCGTTCATCCAAGTTCACAAGTGCATCAGTAGACTGCAGAATCGACTTAAGTCATCGAGAACTCGACGCATTGCATAAAAAGCTTTAGATCTTGAAGTAATGCAAAACGATGTCCAATGATTTGTACTTGAAATTATTGAGGTCGAAACCAAGTCATGTAAAACTGTAAACGCCGAGGAAGGCAAATTCATTTCGACCGATTCTACGAATAAAAAGTCGAATCTGAAGTTTACATTCAAGAATGCAAACAAGTGAAGTCAAGTATCAGAGTGATCTTGAATGGTCTTGTTCTTGTAGCAGCAGAATTGAATGCCTTCAAAGCGCTTATAAAGTTAAAGTTTAACATTTCCTCTGATTTCGAAGTCACTCATGATTGACATCAAACCTGTTAACAATGTCTGAAGAATCTTTATATTCCAAGCTTACAGGAGCATTAAAAACAAAGTTCATTGACGGGATTTTGAAGTTCGGTTAACGGTTTAGTGTCCATTAGTTGAACTTAAAGATTATAAACACTTGAAGAAACGTTCAACAGATATCAACCTTAGAATCATATTGACAACGTTTCAAAATAATACCTACAGCTACTTGGCACGTCAAAGCAATCAGATATTATAACAAATGTAAGCAGTTGAACCTTTCAACTCGAAAAACGAATCACTTTTTAATCGAAAGGGAAATGCCAGGGAAAAGCAATTTTTCCAAGAATCAAATAAACTTTACTCAGCCATGAAATACCTTAGAATGGTTTAGTTTTGGTTGAAGTTTACAATATTTTTCATTTTTTCCTCCATTAATAAAGCAAAATAATTGGATTGAAATGATTCAAAGTGAACCTTTGAGCTTGAATAAATGTCTTCAGTCAACTTATCATTGGCAATGAAATGTTTCATTAATAATAAAATAAACTTTCCATTAATACTTTTGCCAATCGCGAATCTTGGCTCTGCATAATTTACTATTAATAGTTGCAATATTAATCTGGAAAAATCACAATTCCGTAAATCATTGAACAAGATTCAAGTTTACTCTAAATGATAATGTTATTGAGAGCTTTTACAGAATTTCCAACTCTTTTTTTCTCTTCCTTCTTCTTCTCATCTTTCACCTTTTCCAGTTGCTCTTAATCAACAAGCTGAACAATTGAAAATCTGATTGAGAGACGGACAAATCATTTCAAGTGATGCATTTATACATGATAATTGTTAACATGATAAAATACATAATTCATATTATTGGCTTTTCAAATTGCTTTACTCAGTACTTCTTAGCATTTCCTACATTTTTCCTTTTCTCCATCGAAACATTTAATCTTCCAATAATGATTCAAGCCATTGTTCAGTTAATAAATTGATTTTTTATCACATCTCATTCATCTTCATTATCATCTTCAATTGAATTTCAGACAAACTTTAGCTTTCTCATCATTTCCTTATCCTTGACCCAATCTCATCACCTAACACTTTCAAGTTAACAAAGCCATTTAACTTCAACATTCAACAAAATCCCTGACTTCATATTTATCATTTCATTGGTAATCCATCAAATTGATGGACAAAATTTAAAGCAAAAAAAATTCGAAATTTATTGTTGACCAAAAATGTTTATTGCTTTGATTGGTTCAATTGTTGATACAATTTATTTAACTTTTGACTTTCACTGATTTAATAATGTTATTAACATTATTTTGGGTTTACAGTGGCGGTCAATTGTGATGAAAGTAAACTTAAACAGTTTTGAGTCAAGAAAACAATTGAATGTAATTGAATAAAGAAAAGGTTAACTTGATTCAAGTAAACATTCAACTTTTATTGATTTGCCATATTGATACAATAACTTTTCAACTTTAAACAACAATGCTTTTCATTTGTAAAGGAATGCAAAATATTGCATAGTAAACAGTTTCTTTTGTTGCCATTTGTATCTATTAATGGTTCCTAGACTTTTTCGGGTTCTCTACTCGTAACAAGATTGTCAGATTACTTGGATTTATTCCTGTAAATTGCATTCAATTTTCATTTCCAATCATCATGCAATTGTAATAATCAATTGGATCCATTTCCCTGTGAGAATCAAAATCAAAATAATGGGATTCGTTTAAGGTGAAAATGTCCAGGAAAAGTAAATACAGTAAGATAGTGAAATTAAGTTTCTTTTTTTTCTGCTGTTCTTTCATAAAGTTCAGGGCAAATAAATGGATAAAAGTTGAATGAAAATGAGTTGAATGATGGCTCAAAATGTTTAGCAATATCAATTGAATTGTTTAAATAAAGCAACAGCATTATGATTATAACGAAAGATGATAACGTCAACATGTTCCATGGGAAGAAAAGGTGAACAGAAAAGTTAATGACGATAAATGTAAACAACAATATTCTCCTGTTTACCTTTGTTTTTTTCATTCCATTTGCATGATTCAAGTAGAAAAGGTGGAAAATGATGGAATGGAAAAGATAAAATCTAAACTAATTGGATTCGCTGTCAACAAATGGTAAAGGCTGTCAACTAAATTTTGTCACAAAATAGCATTTCGATATGCATTTTGTAACTTCAATTTTCGTCTCGATTTTCGATCTTTTTTTCTTCCAATTTTCGAACTGTTTGAATATGGAATTTTCACTTTTTGTTGAAATATTGATTGGCTTTCAACTAAACTTCCAAGTCTTTTTGAGGTTCAAGGATTTGAGGTTCAGATGCAATATCGTTGGTTCAATTTTCATTTGAAGTGAAAAGATTTTCGGAATCAGTTTGGGATTATCGAATTTATTGATCGAATTTTCGAGGGTCGATGGTTAATGCTTTCAGAATTGGAGTTAAAGTGAAAGGCCATTTTTCGAATAAATTTTTTCGAAGGATTTTCATTGGATTTTCATCATTAAGTGTAAAAGGGAAACATGATGAAGCATACTGTTGGGTTTAATGAATAATTTCATTAGTAATTAGAAGTTTCCAATTCATTTAGAAAGATTGTATCTGTTGATTATTCAATGTTTCCCTGGAAATCGATTTGGTATTTGAGATAGTTTTTTATTTTGTGAATTTTTCACTTTCAATGGGAAAAAAAGTTGTTCAAAATGCCAGACGAATTGTGTAAGGATTAGGATTAATAGAAAATTATATGAAAATTGAATAGATGAAACCCATAAAAGCATTCCAAACTTTACACTCCCAGTTTTCACTCCCAGCCAAGGAAGGCTTTAATCAGCTTTTAATTTCAACATTTTTTCAAGTTTTACTTTTAATGAAGGAAGATGAAGATTGAGAGTGAAAGTGGAGAAAGTTCAATATCAACATTACGTTATTCATTATAACATTAAATATTAACATGTAACGAGTTGGGAGTAGACTTGAGTTATTGGGTAACAAGCATTAAGATTATACTTAAAAGCAAAAGCTTGGAGTAAAAACTAATTTCAAGTTTAATTGTTGAGGTTAAGACTTTCTTAATCCAACATTTAAATACTTGAATTGAAGTAAATTGATCTAGTTTAATCTGAAAAGATGATTATTCAATTGAAGCAATATTTTTCACTCAATTGCTTCAACCTGATCAACAGTCTTGTTTAGTAATATTTAAGACGATTTACTTTAAGGAACTAAAGTGTTGAATTAAGTTTCATGAGTAAGCTTATCAATTCACCATCGAGTGAACCAATTGAACTCAAATTGAAATGGAATTTCAGATTTTTGAAGAATAAGATTTGAATGGGAATGTTTGGGATTCTGATTGAAGTTTATTCGGACATAATTCTTGTTCGTACCTTTGTAATATTAGTATCTGAATGAATGACGAAAATCCAGAGAGTATTATTAAGTGTACATTAATCAATAATCTGAGTAATCATGGGAAGCAGGGAAAAGGTAAAAAGTTGTCTTAGAAAAAATGGGTTGAAAGGTAAGATGCGAAGAAAAGTGAAAGATAAAAGGCTTAAATTGATCAAGAATGATGATGCTGGAAAGATGGGAAGAGATGAATGATAAATCGGAAAAATTGTTGCCTTTCATATTAATATTATCAACTGTTTACAAGAGCAATTTGTTGATTAATTTATTTAACCGTTAACAGTTAATTCAATTCAATTAGTGTGTAACGGTGAACATGAAAGATGCTTCAGGGTAAAAGATTATGATGATTAGGAGGAGGAAGAAAAGGGAAGAGCAAAAAAGGTAAAGTAAAAGGTAAAAAAGAAGCGAAAAATATAAATGAAAAATAAACTGGAAAAGGTTATTATTAGATGAAAACAAGGGATGAATTAGTTGTGATATTAATGTTAAGTGAGACGCAACAAAAAAAAGACTAAAAATAGGCTTTTCTCAAATGTCTTTTTGTTTTACCGTTGTTTATATTTCACTAATTATCATTAATATTTATAAGAGTAAAGAATTTTCTGCGCTTTTTTCTGTTTTCTGGGCAAACATTGTTTTCAGGGTGAAATTGGCTTTTTGTTTCCAGGTAAAGGAATGGCTAATGAAGTGGGAAAAATTTCATTTCTCATGTTTAATAATTTAGTAAAGTTGGTTCATTGTGAGTTGATTTTTGGTCAAGAGTTGGCAGATTCATTGACTTTAGTTGAAGAGGAAAAGAGATGAAAAAAAAAGATTTACCTGAACTCGAGATGAATCATTTGATTGGGACGATATTTTCTTTGAATGAGTGCTTTGAGCCAAGGTTTGACTTGTTGAATGGGAAGATTGATGATGATGGTGAGTGTTATTGGTGTGGGAATGGTTTGATGTTGAAGATGAATTGGCTTGATTTGATTTGGCTGTTATACCGGTAATTATGGTTGATGTTGAGGATGAAGATGAAGTTGAGGCGCCCATGGTTTTGGAGAGAGGATTGTTGAACAAAACTCGAGCCATTAGGCCGTAAAGGACGCAGGAGAGTAAAAGTGGAAATATATAAAATAGAACAAGGTCCGAGAAAAAGTAGCCCAAATAGTATTTACGGGACCAGGCAAAGGTACACGTTTCCAGGTTTGAATCTTCAAGGGAACGGTAACAGATGGGCTCGGTTTTGGTCAAGAAAAACCACGGCGAATTGTAGAGACAAGCAAATATCCAAACATTGAGGATAATCCGTTTGGCTCGGTGAACGGTGCATACCTTTTGAGCTTTCATGGGATGACAAATGGCTATGTAACGTTCAACGGTAAAGGCTGTTATGGATAAGGAAGAGGCATCGATACCAAGGTATTGAAAAAAGATGAACAGGGCACAACCTACACGACCCCAGATCCATTGGTCACCAAGAACGTAATAAGCAATTATCTCATTGGGTACGGCAGCGATTAGAACCATTAAATCAGCAATTGAAAGGCTAACCAGATAACAATTGGTTGGTGTTCGCATTGATCGAGTTTTAACAACAACAATCACTACCATAATGTTACCCAAAACACCTAAAAGTCAAAGATTAAACATTATTTTGGTTAAGCAATTTATTGTACAGTTAATTCCCTGGTAAATCCATCATTTTTTGTTTAATTAAATTACATTTATTTGTATTCCTCAAAATTGGGTTTAACCGGTTTTTGGGTTTTGGGTTTCTTTTGAAAAACGCGCTCTTTGGTTGGATACTTGTTGTAAGCCTTTCATCATGTGTTTTACCGGTTACTTATGCAACTATTGAATAAATGTGTTTCTGAATTTATTTCATTGTGATTTTAATTAATTTTGCCAATTGATTTGGATAAATTGTGACTGTCTTTCATTAAGTTAATGGTTAAATGGTCGAATTAATCTTAGTCCTGTTTACAATTAACTTTGATTAAAGCTAACCTTCAAACTAATCCAGTGTCTTGACTGTCTCAACTCTTATTTGTGTGGATCAACGTTTTTTATTAATAAATGTATCGTACAATTGTACAATTGTATCTTAATTAACTGGCATCTCTCGACTATGATACTGTTGCTTCTGTGATTGTAGGTTAATTGCTTGACGTTACTTTGGTGTAGTATAAGAAGGAAAATTGTCTTCGATGCTTTCAACTGAAAAAATGGAAACCATGCTTTCGCGAACCTTTCCAACGTAATATTACTCAAAATTTTGTCTCGTTTCAGATTTTCCTATTTTTTATTATTTTATGTCTCTGTATTTTCATCAAACTAATGAAGACAATTTTTTTGACTCAAGCAGATCAAATTTCAGTCTGATAGTTGAATTACATAATAATTTATTACAAGCACCACTTTGCATGACAACAATTTTTTCTCTTATTTCTCGTCTGATGTTTCAAAATGTTTCAATATTACTAGAGTAAGTCAAGTTTTTGTATCATTTTTTCCCTATCATCTTACACTTTATAATTATGTCTATCTTTTTTTTCAGAATTTGACTTTTAAAGTTTGTCTTTTTATACAGTGATGAGCAATTTTGATGTTTTTCTGATGGTTCCTTGCCTAGAAGATGAAATACTAAGTATATTGTACATTGTATATTGAATTATACTGATTGCTTATCATTATTATTGCCATTTGGTAATGACCATTTCTCAGGCAAGAAATGTAGAGGAAAAAAAGCTGTCGAAGCCATCAAACACAGAATTTCATTTCCAAAGGAAAACTAAAAAATCTGAACGTCCATCTATTTAATAAAACTAATTGAGCGAATAATGTTTCATTCAATATGGACTTTATTTATTTCGTCTAACTAGTTATTAAATTGATACGTTTAGTTGATTCATATTACGAGAGTTTACTTCTTCTTTTGTGTTCTTTTGTTAGTTTTCTTGAGTTGAAAATGGTCTTTGGTCAACTGGTAATGTGATACTCAATAGTATAGTTACAACTCAACTTTTCATCTGATAGGTTAGAGACTAAGTAAGTTAATGTCATAGATTTATAATATATATCTACTTGCACATTTATATTTGTGGATAGAAAGGTGTATATTATTTGGTGAAAAGGGTAAAGATGATTGAGTATCTTGAGTATAATTCAGAGAGGGAAACGTTGACACGACATTTACTTTGGATTTAACAAGAGTTTGATGAGAGAAACTAAATTTTTGCTTGATTGGGTGAAGCAAAGGAAATGTGCTTACCAATAATGAGAATAAAACCCTGAAAAATGGTTCCAATAATTCGGTATGAAATGGCATAATAAGAAGGATCTTTACAAAATGTGGTATTTAGGTTATTACAATAAGTTTCTGGTGAAAAGCCTGCGGCTGCAGCTACAACCGCTGGTGAAGCTGTTCCCGTGGCTGGATCATACGAGTTGGCTGAGTTAAGGGAAGATGAAGAGATTGAAGATGATGGAGATAAAGACAAGACTGATGATGATGAGGCTGATGATAAAATTGATGAAGAGGAAAGGGATAAAGGAGATGGATAAGGCGAGGAAGAGGAAGAAGAGGAAAGAGGAGAAGATTGAAAGTAAGGTGAAGAAGGTGAATTCAAGGCTAGAGAGGATGAAAAAAGTGAGACTAAAGAGGAGGAAGATGAGGTGAGAAGGGTTGAACTGTTGTCTGTTAAACGGTTAGCAGTGTCAGTGACATAATCACAACCAGCCAGGAGACTGTTTGCCAGGTCGGTTGTGTTGAGTGATTCTAGGAGTGAATCATTGCTAAACAGAGGCAGGTTATCAAAGGTGTTAAAAAATGGATCCATTTTGGTCGATTCCTTGGTTATTTTGGTTAGTTGGACACAACAACAGCAAATAGATAAAATTATCCAAATTGTTGTAACCAAAAAGATTAACATGAACATTGGTGGTGGATGGCGAAGACGATGGCAAAGATGGAAACTAATGATTGTACACAACTTTATCCAAATCACTCGTCAATCTCATGATGGCTTCCGTAAATCACCGAAAATTGTAAACAATTGTTGGACTGTTAACACAATTGTAAATTTATCCGTACAATAGGATCACATTATTGGTATTGATCAGCAGCATAGAGTAAAAAAATTTTGTTGCAATGAGGAAAATAAAGACTTGGGAAGAAGAGGAAAAAAAGGAGAAGAAAAAAAAGTTATTAAAGATTATTGTCAATAAGAATTGGTTTTATTAAAGTGGCTTAGATGATGAGGATGGTGAGTATGATGATGGTGATGATGATGATTGTAGGGAAGACAATGGTGATGATTATTTGAAGTGACACAAACACCAAGGGATAGAAAATTGGTTAGAAGCTAATAACAAATTTCAAGATGAATTATGAAGAAATGTAATAATAATTTCTTCATCTTTTTCCTCTTCATCCTAATCATGGTTTTATATTATATTATTGTTTATCATTGATATCAATGGTCAGTCTGAACAACAGCAACTATTATTATTATTACTATCACTATTTGTTATCAGCATTAGACAAAATCTTTCATGGTTTTCAGATGATCTTAGTCTTTTTTATCTCCTTTGTCTTGCTGTTTCTCTATTCAAAGAGGTTCTTCAAGTTATCCAAGTTAACTAGGAGTTTGTTTCAAACCAACTGTAAGTTATACAAGTTCAGTTGTGCAGCATGGATATTCAGCTCCTATAACTTTACTGAGCAAGTTTCATTTAGTTCCAGGATCTTCAGACTCTCTTCTCATCATCTCTTTGTGAGGCTCTTTCCATAAAAAACTGTGAAAACAGGGAATAGTTCAACGTTTAAACGTATTCCAGTCTTGAACATGAGAAGAGCATTTTGTTTGTCTCTCCTTCTCATTAGAATTTTTGAGAAAAAAAATTGTGATGTAAAGACTTGAAGTGTGCTAGAGCCAGCCATTATATACTGCTAACAGATTCTGGATAATGTTGGTTACCAGGAGTGATGAAAGCAGCCATAAGACATGTTAATACACCAATACTAATTGCTCCAATCAATTGATTTTCACCTTTTTCATCTTGAACGATTATCTTTAATATTTGCTTGCTTGTAACGAGAGGCAATATGTTCCTTTGTTGGTTATCCTTTGAATGAATGATCAAGCCTTTTGTCAAGTCCATTGAAATGCACTCATCTCTACTTTCTTCAAGTTTTGGCGGTCCTCACAAGACTCTTGTTCATTTAATCTGCTTTACTGGTTTCCAATTTTGTCCTTTATTGTATTTCCATTCATGATGTAATATTAATCTACTTTTGCATCTTTGTAAGAAAAATAATTGACCAAAATGGACGTGCAAAAACTGGTTGAGTTGGAAGAGTTGAGAATGGCTGCTAAGAAGAACTGGTTAAATCATTGGAATCCTTAAATTTGGTCCTTTTTGTCTTCAAATTTGTGTCTTTTTTGTTTTCCATAACCAGTGGCACTTTTTGTACATTAATTAAATATGCTTAAGCAAATAGATTTCATTATTATTCGAGTTAATCTCATTAGGGAAAGTAAACCGACTGCTTTTTGTTGATTGAAAAAATGTCAGACGAAAATGAGGTTCAGCTTTTTTCTCTGGTAGCTCATCTTTTGGTTGTTTTTGCGTTGTTGATAATAACAATTATACACCACATCTTTCACTGGCTTGTTAATTGTATTTGATATTTTTAATTAATTAGATGATAATCTCAGATTATTGTTGACTTAATTGAAAAAAGATAGACTTTATTAACAACAGATTATTTATTGTTGCTAGATTTTAATCTTGACTTTGGATCCACTTTTTTTGTTGTTTCCTGGTAGCTTTTTAATTCGATCAAAAATGTAATTTCCTGAATTTCCTTTGGTAAAAGATTCAATCCATCGCTGATTTTCCATTCAATAATTTCCTCTTTGGATCCTGATATTCCGTCCGATTAATCAATCAAAAACATTTAATCGTTAAAATTATCAAAAGTCTATTGTGATTCCAAATGAAGTATGAACAATAACTGCTTATACGAAAAACAAAATTGTTAGAGAAACTCTACTGCAAACACGAGCTTACAATTTAACACCAATGAGATAACACAAGTTAAAAATAACTCAATAAAGACAATATCAAAAAATTAAATCAAAATTAAAAACAAAAACAAAACAATAAAACAATATAAAAAAACTAACAAAATAATTGTAAATATTTTTCGCTTTCTGGTTAAGTTTAAGTCGTCACCAAGAGATGGCGATAGAGTTTCGAATTTCATTTTTTGGTTTTTGTGAATTTTTTCATTTAATTTGTTAATTCAACTGTTTTTTTTTCAATTAATTAGTCAAATTCATCATTTTCCCAATCAATTATTTTCCCATTCTCGTCTTATTAAAATAATGATTGATAAATAACAGTTTGACCACAATTATATCATCAACCATAATGACTTTAATCAACAAATTGTGTTTGACCAGAGCACAAAATTTTACATTGTCCTTGGTTAAAAGGTTTACCTTGAGAAGTTGAATTTTATCAAGTTTCAAATGATGCTACAATCCTGTACAATTAATCTTAATTAAGAGACAACCTAACCTTGAGATTTACCAAAGTAACATCAAGTTTGAAATAAAAGGAAAAAACCAGGATAAAAACCAACAGAGTAAAGGGTAAAAGTATCATCATCTACAGTGTAAATGATCTCTTCCATCTGATAACATATGTTATGTGCCTGACAAAGTTTCCATCTTGATGGTAAATGTGATTCAAATTACTCTTTAAATCTACTGTCTACGGTGAATACATTTTCTGGTGTTGAATAAACTTGAATTTCAACCCATTTCCAATGTAAATACATTGTCAAGTCGTCTAATTTAAGGTTTGATTGGATAAAAAATGGATCTTGAAAATTACATCTCAGCAAGGGAAACATTTTTTCCCATTTCAATATCAAGTTTAAAAGTGACAAGAGTCTCATGTGAAGACAAGAGACAAAACTTAATGGGATTGAATACATAAATTGTTGACAGACCATAACAATTATTATTTATTATTGATGATAATAACTATGATACCGTTTTTAAATAGCATTTAATGTGAGTGAAATGATACAGTGTACAGTTTAATTTGAAAGATTTCTTTGAGTCTTGCTGGTTGTTTGTGTTCATCCACTTGACAGGTCTTTTAACCAAAGTGTTGTCTGCATTTCTTAATGAATTAAGGCCATTGTTGAAACAGAACACACACAAAATGTTGAACTTTCAATGAATGATTCACTATATATATTGTATTAATAAGACATCAAGAATGGGTAAAAAAACATAAAGTGTAAAGTGAATACCAATAATGGTAAGTGATGAGTGAGAAGTGAAAAGGGAAAAGTTGAAAACCCAAAAATTTCATGAATAAGAATGAAATAAGTAAATAACAAACTAACGATTACCTTTTTTTCACTTTCAATTTAGGTCGAGGCTTTTTCATTATTGTTTGGTGTAATCTCATTAAGATGATCAACTCATAAGGTGTTAACAATCAACAGTCAACATGATGGCAACACTTGACTAATGTTATCCAGTTATACAATGGGAAACCAAAGAAGCGAAATTAACCGGACTTGGACAATCAATTTAAATCAGTCTAATTGTTGCCAATAATATCATCTAACCTTCATTTATACAAAAAGATTTGTCGACTTGGATTGATTACAGCTGTGAATAACCAAATACAAAATGTACAATCTCCAATAATTGGCTCTGGTTTATGGTTACCTTGGACTCGACTGTATTTGTAGCAATTGTGGCAACTCCATTCAACTGGTAAAGAACCAAATTTCAGGGTTAATTGTGACAATTGGTTTATTAATGTTTATATCAATGTTACAATTGCTATTAGTGAATAACAAATCAACTAAAAAATGCAGCTGATTAAATGATTGCTCTCAAAATAGAGATATAAAAATGTAAACAAGTTTACCCAATATTTCTGGTTATGAGCTTTTCGCCACGCAACTCTTGTTATTGCTCACTATTGATTTAGTATCCATATAATTGTTCCCATTTGAACCTTAATCATTCAATTGAACACTTTCATTGAACCAAAACCTAACCCAAGACCAAATAACCAGTTTTTCAATTTTTTTGGGTAACATCACAACGCTGTTAACAATGAACAATTGATTTCAACCCAAAGAATCAGTTTATTTGCTATTAATTTTATTATAGATTGTACATTGATTAACCATTGACTTGATGATCGATCGAGTATTGATCAAGTATTGATTCAAATGAATAATTCTAATTGTTACCAAAGGGAAAAGTAAATAGCATCAATGGTTGGATGATTTGTTGAGGTTTAATTGTTTAGAGATTTGGATAATTTTGACTTTCACTGCTTCTATGGGATTCCCATTCAACATTAATTATTTTCCATTAATCATTATTGAAATTAGTTTAAAATTAATCGTTTGGTTGGGTTGACAATTGACTGAAAAATGAAGCCAAAATGTTTAACCATACTTTTGCTGGTTAAACTCGCAACTCGTAAAGTCTTGATTCAGTAAGTTCACTTAGATAAGCTGTTAACATTCACAAGTGACTGATTGTTGTTAATTGGGAAATTTCCTTTAAATCAAATTGCAAGCTCAACAATCTAATTAGTAAACAATTTAACCAGACAGAAAAGCTGCTAATTTGAAGCAACAATTAACATTGTAATACAATTTTCACGATCAAAGCATTTACATTTTCACTCGTTTTAACCCAATGAGATGCAATTGCTTAACCATGAGATTTTCAAGTTAAACAAATTATCGCAATCAGGAAGTAAACAGAGCTTAATATGGTAAGTTCAATTGAGACAATCAAAAATGAATTGTACCAAAAATGTCTCTTGATTTAGAAGTCAATTTCAATTTCAATTTAAATCAAATTTTAAAGCCTTGAAGACGTGATTTCAGTTTTGCTTCATTAATAGATTTTGTTTAAACATTCTTGCCGATAAATGATCTTGATTGTAAATATTAGCAATTGAAGAGAGAGATTCATTTGAATAATCATCTAATGATATCAAGAACTGGTCTTTATTCAGCATAATCAGCAGTTGACATTGTAACTATTATAATACATAAATAGCTGAATAACGTCATTCAGTTGAACATTGACTTATTGGTAATGTTAATAATAACTGGACTTTAATTGGTGTTTAATTAGGTTAACAACTTAAATTTAATTTCTATGTTGCAGGATGAAGCTATTAATAAGATGAAAATTGGGAAAACAAAATGTCCCATTTTAAATGTAAGAAAATGAAAGTTGATTTTAAACCTTAAGGCTATCAAAATGCTGATGCGTTAAAATGTAATTCAGTCGATTACCTGTTCATCGATGGAGGCTCTATCTTTGGAAAATGCAAAGGAAATTTATCTTTCATAATTAATTGCATAAATTTAATCGCAATCGATTGTTAAAGCCTCGTAGTAAACTGCATCTAATGCGTTTGAACTTGTGTCAAACTTCAATGTGTTGAAACTCGGGAATCTTTCAAAAAAATAAGAATCTACACAATTTTTCAAGTTTCTTTTCAATGGGTTAAGAACTTGACTAAGAAAATGAAATTTATTTTTTTGATAGGCGGTTTACGAGTTCTTTGCCGAAGTGCCCGAATTTCGCGGTCATTTATTATTCATGATCCTATTATGTTAAAAATTATCGAATGAAATCTTGATGAGATCTATCCAATTATTTATTGGGTGATTTGCATCCTTGACGGTCGTATGTACTAATATAATAACTTTTGAGCTAGAGGTCAGGTCTTTATGATATTTAGTCAGTATGATTCTCAAAATTAAAGAACCATAAATCCATAGTCTCAAGGACATTCAAGGTCATTCAGTTATTTGACCTCTAATTAACCTTTGCATATCGTTTTCTGAAAGGATTCGGTTGGTGTTTTAGCCATCGATCAGAACATCTGAAAAAGTTTGAACTCTCGAAAACGATATGCAAAAGTCAATTGGAGGTCAAATAACTGAATGACCATGCATGACTTTTAGACTCTGGATTATGGTTTTCAATTTAGAGAATTATACTGACCTGCAACTCTAAAGTTATTATTACATACCACCGTCAAGGATTAAAAAACACCCAGTGAAAAATCTACTCTTTCAATTCTGTTTTCGCTGAAAATTAAACTGATTCTTAGTCTCCGTGTTTAACTTTGCTTCTCCGGTGAATTTGCTTCTTTAAGTTTTTCGTCATTCAACGTATGTCTTCTGAATTTGAAATGAAGAGCTTTCTATTGTAGTAAAAGATTTAGGAATTTCGGATGACGTTTGATCGAGTCCAGCCGATGGCAACAAATTCTGTTTATTCTAATTTATGTTCGTAACTTAACAATGACTTTCAGAATCGAAGAAAAATCCATGATAAAGATGTATGAATCGAATTAATCCAGCGGTTTGATGATATAATGGCTTCACTGCAGAAAAACAAGCTGAATTTTATAAAGTTATTTATTCATTATTTATTCATTCATTAATATGATGAACCAATGGACGCCTATATCATTAATCCTTCGACCTTCATAAAAACTTATAAAAAATGAATAAAGAAGTTTTAGTTAATTTATTTATCGTCTAAAATTTATTTCATTTGCACAAACAGTTTTATAGTATTATACCATAAGTAACCATGGTTATGGTAAGGTATTGTTTTTTGCTTCAAGTTTCAGTTTTTTCTGTTTTGCTCTCATTTAATTCATTGAATAGGAATGCACAACAAAACGTTAATTACTATCATTTAATTAACTTATTAAATATGTTGCAATTCGTTTAAAGATTACTTGCCCTCCGTTTTAAAGTGAGCCTAAACTAAAGCCAATAGCTCAGCTGACTGTTTTACTGTGACTTCCATTGTTGAGTTGTTTTGTTAATTAATCCCCGTTAACGAGCATTTACCGATTGGATAATCATCTGTTTGTGAGTGTTTAAATCGCCACTTGGTTATAGACAATGTTAACAATTATTTGGACCAACAACAACGATGATCTATTTTTATAGCATGTTTCACCGAAAAGAGCCAAATGTTGTTTTAAATTTTTTGCTGGAGATTTCATGTTGACTTTTTAAGCAAACTGAATGACAGAGCTGGGTAAAATAGCATATGCTGGGTAAAATGGGTTGTGGTTCAATTAAAAGCACAAATAAATCAGATGTTTTAATTGAAGATATTGATACAAACATTGGTTCGGTTAGTTTAATGGAGGTAAGTGAAGATCGCTCAATGCTTGTGATTGCTGGTGAACTTGGAACCGCACTGGTTATAAGCAAATTTTCATCGCCAACTGAAATAATTGGTAAACTTGTTGGACACGGTATACAGTGATTTTAAAAAGAAAACGAATGTACCTCAAAAAGTAGGAAATTTTTCTTAAAAACAATGAAATGGGGATCAACAGATTAGCTCTTTGCTAATCTTTGTCTTACCTTGGGTGAAATGTTTCTTATTTACTTTGAAATGTTCTTTATTTTTGGTGAAATGTTCATGTATGTTCAAAATTAGTTCAAAATGATTTCTTCATTCAATCACTTTGGTAAATATGAGAGCATATGTGAATAATAATTTTTACAATTATCTTCGGAAATAACTTGAGATGCTAGCTCAACACCAGTAAATACCTCTTCTGGTGTCTTTGGCTTATACAACTTAACATAGTGTTTTAATTGATTAAACATTTCTTCGATAGGGTTCAAGAAAGGTGAATAAGCTGGAAGAAATAGCAAATTATGACCAGCGTTATCAATTATAGCTCGGACATCCTGAGCATGATGGAATCTAACATTGTCCATGATTATAGTAGCACCAGAAATATTTTCATTATTTAAATGAGTAATCAATTGCCCGATGAATTCAACAAAAGTATCGGTGTTATAACCTTTTTCTTTGGCTTCGTAAAAAAACAACGACCGATAAGCAATTGCAGCACAAATTGAGTAATTTTTTCCTCGTACAGCTTTGACAGTCAATCGAGCGCGTTTACCTTTCTCTGCCCAACCTCTACTTAATCTAGCATGGACTTGGATACCTGTTTCATCAACAAAGATGACCTTTTCTCGGTCCTGATCAACACGTAAAAATTCAACAGCATAAAGTTTTCTAGCTGCAATGACATCAGGGCAATTCCTTCTTTCTGGTACCACAGTTATCTTTTTGATGCTGAAGTTAATACCTTTCAAATAGTTATAAACAGTAGCATTACAAACCTCGATACCAAACTTTTCCATAATTTTATCCTTGGCTCCATCAAGGGTCAGTGTACAATCTTCATCGTACCATGAACGTAATTCATCGACAACCGATTGAGGTAATTTTTTAGGTCGATGACCATGAGGTCGCTGAATAGCTCCGAACTTTTTGAAGCGATGAATTATTGTTCGCACTGTGTTTACATTCACACCAAAAGACTGAGCAATATCTTTATGAAATTTGCCTTTTCTATCGGCCTCAATAATCAATTTTTTCACTGTTTCACTAATCATGATGGACACTAGTTCAAGTCAAAATACTAACTAATTTTTCTTTGGTTATTCTTCCCTAAATATACCAAAAATTTCACCAAAAATAAAGAACATTTCAAAGTAAATAAGAAACATTTCACCCAAGGTAAGACAAAGATTAGCAAAGAGCTAATCTGTTGATCCCCATTTCATTGTTTTTAAGAAAAATTTCCTACTTTTTGAGGTACATTCGTTTTCTTTTTAAAATCACTGTAACTTCCGTATCCAGCCTGCTAAAAAATTCTACTTGTACGAAAACGCATTTTAGGCCATTTTGAGCGTTGCGCATGCGTGTCATTTTTTTGACCTTGGCTGACCTTCACGTGCTGACCAATGTATATGCGAAGTTTCAAGACTCTAGCAATCATACTTGAAGAGATATAGGGCAATATACATAAAATACTATAAATGTATTCTTTCATGGTTACAAAGTTCCTCTGGACTCAGTGTGCAAAATTGTACTGAATTTGTAAGAAAAAAGTTACGTTCTTAATCGAAAGGTTAGAGGTTTTTGAAGCTGTAGGTTACAAGTAATCACAACAATATTTCAAAAAAAACTATTAGTTCTGTACTAAAAGCAGTTTAACAAGCTTCGAACTCACATCAATTTTTCGATTTATACTTTCTTTTTCTCATTGTATGATGAAACAATTGTTTATGATTATTCGGCTATCTTTGTTCATACAATTACTGTCCAGATTCGTTACTTTTAGAACTGGAACTAGTTTTAAATTTTTAAGTCTTCTCATCAGATCACCTTGACGAACCTGCCATTTATGGCATTGAAAAGAGGCTTCACCACAAGTTACATCGGGTTAGATTGTCCCGTTTATCTTGATAAATGCATGTCTTGTAACTCAGGGAGAATTACTTTGACAAAGATAATGAAGAGGATCATGATGCTGTTCATGACAATGATGAGGATGAATAAAGGTGAAAAGTATTCCTATGAAAAATGGCTTTTTTGACATTGTGAAAGTATTGTTGAGTTGAAAATCAATGCCTCAACCCAACGAGAATGATAAATATTGGTTATTGCGTTCAATTGTAACCAGGATGATGAGCGTCATAAAGGTACATTCATTTATGCATGCAATTATCTTCACAGTTCCTGAATTTACCCAGAAAAGAAACTGGTTAATTGATGAAACCTCATTGAATGCAATAGTAAAACCTTAATGACATTTTATTGTTTCAAAATTAATTTACTAATCAATATTTTCTCAAAATAAAGGTTGTCAATTTGAAAGTAAAAAGAGTCGTAATTAACTCAATAAGAAACCATTGATTGAAGCCTTTTTCAAAAGCGCTTTCAAGTATTGACTGCTTCGAATAATTGCTGATAATAATTTTGCTGTTTTGTTGATTCTCTTTGATTGTTACCTGTTATTTAACAAAAAGATTTATCATTCCTCATTGACTACTTACTTGAACCATTATCATTGAACAAGATAAAGATGAACATTTTTTTGGCGTCTTTTTTACTCTTTTCATCTTTTCTCATGATTCATGATCAACAATTTTTTTCTTCCTCATAAAACAATTTAAATAATTGTTAGGTCCATTCTGGTTTCCCTGGTTATAATCATTGTTAACAAGGTTAACCAGTTTTTTTATTAACCCATAAACAGCAACAACAATGAAACGACCAACAAGCTAAAACCATCATTGATGAAAGGCAACAATTAAGCAAGGTCACAATTAATCTATTATTTCACTAATTCTTTATATTAATTGTTAAATATTCAAATTAATGGATATTTTTAGGCTTCTTGATGATCTGTTGCTCTTGGCGATTGGAACATTCAACCCTAAAATTATTATCAAATCTTTGCCTTTTCATCAAGTCTACGCGCTATGAACCAGGAACCAGTGTAAAGGTTCACTGATTTTGCCTTTTTAGCGTTACACAATTTGCTCATCTTTTCACTTGATTTGTTCATTTGTTCATGATCATGTTTAATTCATTTGATTAAACCTTTAGTCAACAAAAAAAACAACAACAATATTGAAGCAATAAGTTGATGTCAGCTCAAGTCAACCCGTAATTATCAAGATATTTTCAGCCAGTTTCGTGACAAGTCCAAGACTTTTGTTGTTTCTGTTTATTTGATAGTTTTTGATGCCAATGAAAAATGAATTTCTTTATGAGCTTCGATTTACAGGCAAGTGATTCGATGGCGATGAACGAAGAGAAACTCTTTTTTTACCGAAAGAAAAGATTGGACAAGTTTGATTGAATCATTAGCCTGAATAGATGTCTCTTGATGAGAGCCAACAATCGAACCATTAAAGAGTTTCGTGATTTTCGACTTTAAACGACAATATTTTTCGTAACTTTTAGTGTTGAAATGAATGAGCTTTTTGAGGATAAAATGTTCATTTGAGTTTCACTTGAGGAGTGATCTTTTTATGGACCATCTATCCGTCTCCTTTTGGATAGCATTACAATCGTTGTCGTTGTCTGATTGAACAGTTTGGTTTAATGCCATTCAATGCCTTTACTGTAAAGTTGAACAATCAATTAACACAAGCCAAATGTACTCGTCAATAGCACTTGAAAGTAAGGTTACTGTTCAAGTGAACAAATTTTGACTTTCAAAGGTTGTTCTGTGCAATCGTTTTGTTACTTTTTATCCTCTTTAGTTAGTCAACTGGATCAGCAAAGCTTAGTTTGCTCGTTCAACAATTAACCAAATTGTAATGAAACAGATACAATTTATGAATTATTGAATGGGATGACTCTTTTGTCTACACATTTTAATGGTCAACTATTAAAGTTAAATATTATTAGTTAAGTGGCTAAGTGGATACATTTTAAACATTTACTCAAATGTAATAAGTGTGTTTATTGATTGATTGGGGAAAATGGTTGAATACAATTAGAGTTAATGGGGCTTTAAAAAAGTGAGAATGACTTTTACATTAAAAATAAATGTTGACTGTTTAATGTGAATTGAAATCATTTCACTGTTACTAATGATATTGCCGTTTAATTTGTTGATCATTGAAAGCCTTTTCAGTTTTCAAATATCAAAATTTTTCCGTCTTTACAATGACTTTTGATATTTTTTGTTGTGTTTAAAGTCAAAAGAACGACTTGAAGTAACACTAAATCATCAACTAAATGGGAACAATAAATCTCAACAACAACGATTGTCATTATCATTATAATTTGTACTCATCATCACCATAAACTTTCATCCAACACCAACAATGAACAATGTCACCTCTTTGATCACAATCATTTTGTCATCATTCGCAATCTCAATTAACCTTCTTTGTATCTCTTTTCATCATCTTAGCAATCGTATATTTCCCTTCTTATTAGGCCAAAAGAGGTGCATTTTTCAACCTAAACAGACCACTTTCATCCCATAAAACATATCATACATTAGGACCATTTCACGCAAAAATTTTTTTAACTCATCAATATTTTAATCGTCATCACCATCATCAATGCATAATTGCACTTCCCGTTTTTTCATCATCCTCATTAGGTTCATCATCTTCGTCATTTTCATAATCTGCAACTTTTCCTAGTCGAAGTACAACTTTTTTAGGCCGATAGAGAGCCATTTCTCAACCCAGACAAGTCTCTTTCATCGCATCAAATTTTTCATACGATAGGGTCATTTCACACAGAAAAAATCGTTTTACTCAACAATATTTTTAATCGTCATCTTCACAATCTTCATAATCTTCATATTCATAATTTTCATCATCACTATCTTCATCATCATCATAATATTTTTCATAATCTGAGTGACTGACTTTTTTAGGCCAACAGAGATTAATTTTTCAACCCAGACAAGACTCTTTCATCCCATCAAATGTAGTGTTATTAAGGCACTTCCTTTGCTAAAATGTATTCACACGAAATAATGTCAACTTTTTTATCATTTACTCAATTTGTCATTTTAATTAACCTTCACAATCAACCTTTATTTATCATCTGAAGTGTTCATTAGATGATGACATTTATATTTGATTGTGGGTTTAAATTTTCTCATTTTGCTCCTTTTATTATAATTATACAAAGATAGATTGAGACATTGAATCGGCATCTTAACCTTAATACATGAAACTGAATAATCATCAGATTGAAACTGTTTTGTTTCAATTGACACTTAATCATGATTTGGTTCCATTCAATTGATTAATCAAGAGTTAAATAAAGTGATGATGAGCTGACGATGAAATTGGGTGAAAGGTAAAAAATGCAAAACAAAAAGCCAACTCTACTGTCAACTCGATCATTTGAATTTTACCAATAATCTGATTATTTTGTTAGCCTAATGAATGTTTCATATCAATTGATAATCAGCTAATTGTAAGTCAAAAATTGTTTAAAACTTTGATCACTTTTTGGTTAAAAGCATTATCTAGTTAATTTGATTTCCCTTCAAGTATGTAATTATTGCTATAAGAATCGTTTTTTTATTCAAATGCTAATTATCATGATTAACGTCAATTGCGATTATTGTTATTCAAATGAATGAAACATAAACTTACCAGACTAATCAACAATTAAAATTGATTAAAATCATTAGTCTTAAATGTTGCCATCAGAAAATCCATCTCAATTTCAATCATCAAAGATAATCAATATTTTGCTTTCAACTTCAAATACCAACATTTACAAAGTTGTTAGTTTATTACAAAATGGATAATTTGATAATCAAACATTTTCTGACCTCTTTTGTTTCTACAATTAAATGCTCGAGTAATTACCTTTTTGATCAACGCTTTTTATTGACATTCTGTTGGTTCAAATTGTCATTAAAATCAATGTCTGACTGATTTTTTGCTGAAAAATGTTTCCTGAAAATGAATTGAAATTCAAAGCATATTTAACGTTCAATTGCTTAACGTTGAAACCTTTTTACACTCTACTTGATTAAAGAGTCAGAATTACTCTTCTTTTGTAAATTACTTTCCAATGTGAACCGTTTAGTCTTTAATTGAGATTAATTGCAAGATTGCAAGAATAGTTGATTAATCTGATTAATCTGCTTCTACTTTTTGGTTCACTTTTATATCAATAGATGGCTCTTTACTTTACAGCTCCATCTGGTGGATAGCATCTGTATGAGGAGCTGTTTTTGTTTGGGTGTTTTTACTTGTCAATTTGATATGATTAAGAACTGTATAGAAAGAGGATTTTTTTAACTTTATCGTTATGTGTTTGATAAATTTTTTAATCATACAATGCTCACTATTACATTTTTATTAAATTTTGTTTTGGTTTTTATAAGGTTAACCAATGGTTATAGTACATGTCCACCTATAGAGTTACGTTCATCTTTAACACCTAAACAAACCAAATCGGGAACTTTAAATCCATCTTTACTATCAACCAAAACAACTACACCATCAACACTCATCTCCTCTGTATTATATTCATCTCCATCTTCATCTTCCACTACTACTAGTGATGGATCCAATGGATCATCTAGTTTACCCAAAATTGTCTGTGATTGTACAACCGAGGTTAGAGAGTCAGCACCATCTTGGGAAATACTGTGCTATCAAGAACCGGATTATCACTCAGAGGCTACAGTTGATCCTGAAACGGTGCAATACTCAGCCTTACCAATAGCCTTTATTATTAAATATGTTTCCTCCCGTTATATTGAGATTAATTGTTATGATAGTTCACCAGAATTTCAACCAGCAATGTTCCAAGGTGAGTTGAAAAGAAAGAAAGCGCAAATTAAGAAGTTGCTTTAAATTATAATAGTTAACCGTAAAGGAAAAACGAAAAGAAAAAGTGAAAGAATCAAGAAAAGATTCAATTCTATTCATCTTTATTGTGCTTTTGATGTGTGTTGTAAACTTGTTTACTTGTTAAAAATACGCTTCAAGATTTACCAACCAAAAAATGGATTATTATTAACATTATTATTATCGTCTTTCATTACAAGAGAAATATAAAACATATTTTTCCATTCCCATCAGAGATCAATATTTGTTATTTGCCGATCAAAATGTATAAAACGCCTCAAATAATCAAGTTAGGCCTGACAGTCATAATGTTAATTACAGCTAATTGCCATTAGACTTTTGTAGCTTTCTCTGATTCCCACCGATATCATTTTTCATTTCAATCGAAGGCGTTTTAATCTCACAGACATTTGACCCTCTATTAAACTGGAGACATTGAAATACATTGTTGACCAGATGAAACCAGTGAACCAACAGCCTTTCAGCCCAATAAACGCTCATTCATATCCTGTTAACAGTTAAACATTATTCAACTAACCAAGCGATTTCAATAACTTTAAAAACTTCCCTTTCTTTTCCTGATTCTTTGCTTTCCCTCTTTCCAGCTACCTCTTTTGTCCTCTTTCTTTCCCTCTCAACATCACTCTTTCTTATTCTCTTTCTTTTTTTCATTCGCTTGATCACTCTCGCACGGCTATCTTATTTGTTCAAAGCAACATTTTTTCGGGTCATATTGTTATCGAAGTGACCTTTTCATCGATTGAAAGTATGATTGTGATCAAAATTGCTTTATCCATTACCTTCTTTCATTGCTTTCTCTCTCTCTTTTTTTTCATTGCTTTTGTCACTTTTTTTTGTCATACAAAATCATTGTACTTTCAGTGGTCTGTGAATGAACTAACCTTTAAATCATTTTCAAAAGCTTTTCATTATCTGCTCAGTTAATTGTCACAATTAACCATTGATACCATCAACTTCATTTTCATCATTTGTAAACATTTTCCTTTGCTCACAGTTGTGGTTTTACAAATTTAATTTAATGATGAGCATACAACAAAATTTGCACGCTTCTTCTCCTTTTTTTTACTATTATTGTATCACAGTTATAAGTTGAATCCACTATTATAATCATCATTATTTTTATCAGAATTTAGAGTCTAATTTTGCTCGTTAACGAGTTACTTAATTAGCGGCAAAAATGTGTACAATTGCAACTATTTTTACCGTTCAAATGTTACGCTTGTTGATTACCAGATTCTGGTAAAACCTTGTTACATCAGCTTATGTTAACTTGGATTTCAACTTATATCGCGAGATTTAGTTGCTGTCTCTGAAAGTGAATGCAAATTGAAACCAAACAAACAACGATTCAAAAACTGGTAACAATTTACAAAAAATTGAGAAAATTATTGAACAATCTTTAGTGTTGTACTAGTAAACACAAATAGCTGAGCTGTTAATAGTAAACATTAATCAACCAGGCAAACTATACTTATTTCAAACTTACTTCAAAGTTATGATCCATTAATGGTTTAACAGAGTCTATCCATCATAAGCATAATCATTATCATAGTAATGTTGAACATTTGGGTTTCCTAATGAAGAGGGCAAACCTTTTTCAACTCATCAATTTTGTTTCATTTTTATCACAACTGTCAATCATTTTTAGGTCAATATTTGAAATTTCAAATGATCATTACAGTTGCAGAAAAGGTTACAAATATTGGTTAAAATACATTGCACTACGTCTCAATTTTAATGGTTTTACAAAAACCATCTTGAATCATACACAGTCATTAGACTTGTAAACTTGTTTATTTTTTACACTCTCAATCTCAGCTTTTTCACCCTTTTTTTTCTTGAGTAAATCTTGAGCTTATTTGTGCAATGAAAACAACGTTTCTCATGATGTTTCAATTCGTGGGTCTTTTGATTCCCTTCAATTATTTCACTTTGTGCTTCATCATTGATCATTATTTTCTTACTCATCATCATCCTATTTTCATTCCTTCATCTAATTCTTATTCTTTATTTCTCATTCTTTCTCTCATTTCCTTTACCTTTTTGTTTTCTGGATGAATAGGTTTTGGAGTCAATGAAATTGACTCTTTCCGTGTGATCAACTGCTCCTTGCCAACAGTGCCTTTCAACCTGATCTTTCATCGGACATCAATAGGATCAAATAAGGATTCAATTTCATCTTCTTCCATCAACAAACACCAAGCAAACCGTGCAATTGGCAATGGTTCACCACAACTTGACACAGGTGGAACAACTTCCAATAAGGTTAAAGGTATTCGATCGTTGGAGTTGAGGCGTGCGACTCCCATCAAAGTGGATGTTAAACAATTGAAACACCTATTCCATGGTCTTGATCGTTTGGAACAATTGACTCTTGAAAATTACATAATTGCCATTCCTGCGCCAAGTGAGAAATTAATTTCAAATGTAGCTGCTGGTGGACTTGAAGGAAGGCGAACTGGACGCCGATTTAAACGATCATTTGGATCAAGGCTCAACTCGAGTGACACTCTGGTTGGATCAAAATATCTAGTTAATGAAAAGAAAGTCACAATTAATCCAATTTCGGGTTCATCACCAGATTTTGATCCATCAACAGGATTTACTGTTTTAACAATGAAAACAACAGTCTCTCCATCATCACAATCACCTTCTTTATCACCATTACCATCATCATCATCATCATTCTCATCATCAAGGGTCATCACAACAAAAGCGCCTACTACTTTTTCGGTAACCGCACCACCGACAACTCTATCAGGAGCAGTAATGACGATGACAACAAAAAAACCGACATCCATTGAAGTCTCTAAATTGCCTGAAAATAATAAATTTTACACTCCAAAAGCGTTTGATGGAATTGATGTAAACAATCAAAATGAGAATCATTCAAATTCAGATAAAAGAACGGAAGATAAATCTATTGATGAAACTATGCATAAATCATCAACATCATCTTCTTCACCATCACCATTATCCTCATCTGCACCTACATCAGCTCTTGGTTTAACCGATACCAAACCCTCTTTGCCTGTTGTACCCGAAACTGATGATCTGTCTGCTGATAAGTCAACCCTCATTCCCGGTGTTACTGTTAACCGTCAAGAATCTCAATCATCTTATCAATATTTAGCCAATTCAATTGATTTTAGTTTTGGATCTTATTTTCCCATGTTAAAATCACTCGTTTTATCCAATTTTTTGGTCACAAAATCGTCCGAAAGTGCATTAATATTAAGAAATCTTCTTTCCAACTTGAACAATCTTGAACAATTGGATCTTCGTTCAAATATACTTACTCACATTCCTGAAAACCTCTTTTCTGGTTCTGGACGAAAATTGAAACGCCTTTACCTCATGAGAAACTCAATTGAATCTCTGCATCCATATGCATTTATAAATCTCAAAGAGCTTGAAGTTCTCGATCTATTTAGTAATAAGATTCAATTATTACCAGATTCACTTTTAAAAGATACCAACAAATTGAAACAATTCCGTATCAAGACAAACAATTTTATTACCTTACCTTTGAATCTCTTTGCCTCCACACCTTTACTTACATCTCTTGATTTAAGTTCAAACCGTGAACTATCATTATTACCTGTTGACCTGTTGAAAGGTTTACACAATTTACGAGACATAACCATAAATGATTGCAATTTAAACAGATTTACCACTAATCCAGCCAAATTTTTCTCCTACGCTTCTAATTTGGAAAAAATTGAACTTAAAGGAAATCTTCTCACCAATCTCACACAAGCTCGCCTTTTTGCTCGCAATCCAAAGTTGACAACTCTAGATGTTTCCAATAATCGAATCAAGGAGATTGACGCCGATATTTTCAGTGAAAATTCATCCAGTTTAACCAATCTAAATTTATCCAAAAATGATTTATCATTTATACCGGATAAACTATTGTACCATTTAAAGAATCTCCGTGTTCTCAATATTGGAAATAACAATCTTCACACCATCAATAACAACATTTTTTATACTCTCTCAAATCTGGAAGTTTTAGATCTAAGTAGGAATCAATTGATTACTGTTAACCCTGGTGAAAGTAAAATACCTTTTGGTTTAGGGGCTTATCTGAAAAAGATCAATTTATCTCACAACAATTTAACTTATTTCAACCGGGAATTTAATTCAATCCAATGGAATCTTCATCTGGAAATTGAGGAAATTAATTTATCTCACAATAAGCTGCAAGGACAAGTTAAAATACCAATATTTTATTCAACAAAGTCAAAAATAATTCTCGATTTACGTGACAATCAAATTGATTCAGTCAACATGGATGCCATTCTGATTAATGAGAAACTTTTTATTGAAATTCTCGATTCTAATAAAGCTTATGCTGATGGTGCCGAGTCAAGCGAAGTTAAAGTATTTATATCTGGAAATCCTTTCAATTGCGACTGTAACCTATTCCCATTGCTGAAGTATACTCGATCCAATCCACAGGCAAAATATGAAAATTTGGTTGAAAAAGTATCTTTTGATATTAGCTCAGACAATTTGAAATGTTTCTCACCATCAAGATTAAAAGGTAAATCATTTTACGAGTTGAACACAATTGATTTAACCTGTCCATTGGTACAAAGCAAAGTTTGTCCTTCTTTCTGTGATTGCTGGTTCCGAGCTCATGATGAGAGGATTTTAATTGATTGTCAGTCCAAAAATTTATCCTCTATTCCTGAAGAAATAGTCGATATAAACAACTATCAAGATCTTAATACGCCAGGAATTAAAGCTGGCACACCGATTAAAGCTGTTACTCTTAAAATGCAAAATAATCGGATTAATGATTTACAACCTTTGGAAAGGCTTGTTTTACCAACAACTTCATCCTCATCAACAGGAGTAACATCAACTGTAGGACGAAAAGGATTTTCATCTGGAACAATCTTATTTGAACTTTACTTTGATAACAATACAATAGATACAATATCTAATTCATTGGTTAAGCTTCTCAAACTTTCTACTAAACCAAGTCAGGATAATTCACTATCTGAATTTAATCACGGAAAAGATGTTTCAGATTCTTCTTCCTCATTGCCCACATCAGCAATGGCTACAGTTGCTCCAGGAAAACATTTGAAAACCGTCACAATATTATCTACATCATCTTCTAGTCCTACTAAAACTGCCATTGTAGACCTTGTTTCCCTGCGAAATAACAATATACATTCAATTCCAATGGAATTTATCGATGAATTACGTGAACTTCAACTTATTGTTGCCAGTAATCAAAGTATTAGCAACACTGGTAGCTCTGAAGCCCATAATTTGCCTAACAAAAATAACGATGACAACAATCACAACAATAATAATGTTGATATAAGCCAACCACCATTACCTAAGTTTTTAAAGCTATATTTAGGTAATAATCCATACAATTGTACTCCTCAAGGAATCACTGCTCCTGGAGATAAATTGTCTTGTCAGATGAGGGAATTTAAATCATGGTTAACGGGAAATTATCGTATCATTGGTGATATTGGTGATATTAATTGTGATTCTCTAAATCACAATTCAAATTCAGCATTGATTAACATACCTGATTCGGTTTTATGTCCCCAACTGGCCCAATTGGATCAAACGGTTTTACTTACAATGACAGCTATTTGCATTGCTTTGGCTCTCTGCTTACTTCTCGTTTCCATATTGTACTATCGAAACAAGCAAACTGTTCTAGCCTTTTTTTACATTCACCTTAATCCGATCTTTGTTTGCCTTCATTTTCACGAGGATGATATTGATGAAGATAAAATTTACGATGCTTTTGTTTCCTACTCAAGTGCCGATCGAGACATTGTGATGCAGTTAATTGAGAAACTTGAAGAACCCAGTTCCATCTCTAATACATCAATTTGTTACTTGCAATCACAATCAGGTTTACCTTCCATTCATGAGGGTAATTATGATCAAATTGTACCTGATATTGGACCTGATATTAAAACTGTTGATAAATCTTATGTTTCATCCAACATATTTGGTGATAAAGGATTGAATAATTCAGATCGAAGTCGATCATCTAAAGGAAACAATTTACGAGCAACTTCTGGAACTGATGATTACCCAGATGATCCTGATACAACTCAATATTTCAAATTATGTATCCATGAAAGAGATTGGCTTCCTGGTAATTTAATATCTTGGAATATTGTGAATTCTGTACAAAATTCTCGTCGAACAATCATCATTCTTTCCAAAGACTTTATCCAATCAATTTGGTTTCAAGTTGAATTTCATACAGCTTACTATCAAATGTTGGAAGATAAAATTGACCGATTAATTGTAATTGTGCGAGGTGAATTACCTCCTAAAGACCAAATGGATAAAGATTTGGTTTTCCTATTAACTACCAAAACTTACCTTGTTTGGGGTGAAAAATGGTTCTGGGAAAAATTGCGCTATGCGTTACCTCATAAATCTACTCGTAAACGAGCAATAGCCTCACCATTGTCTGATAATGGTAATGGTAATAATAAATCAAGGTGCCTTAAAAAAACTCATTTTAGTACAAATGCCATAAATTACCTGAAATCGGGTAAAGATGGGACCAAATCAAAGTCACCCTCTAAAAGTGCTATGATGAAGGAATATGTTGACCAAGCGATTGCAAATCATTTTCAACTTAACACATCTAGTAATGGTTCACCACTTAAATCAAACATAATCAACGGCAAATCATCTCTATCATCATCATCCACAACAACAACATCAACAACTCCATCACTGCAAAGTGCTTTACCCAATTATGGTTCAACCTCGGATCCAATGGATATCAACTTTTCAACTAATAAAGCCTTTAATCGTTCCATTAATAATGGTAAAGATGATAATGGTGGACTTGGTGACTACTCGAAGCAAGGTCATGTTAATGAAAGTTTTGTCATTGAAACAGAAACATGATATTATCGATAGTTAATTAGTTTTTTATCTCTATCAACCATTGAAAGCTAACTGTTACCTTTACTCTTTTCTTCCTCTTGTCTTTCCTTTCTTTAATTTCTGTTGATTTGTTTTTTTCTTCAACAACTCTTTGTCTCCTAATCACAATAACCTTAAACTTGGGTTTCCTGTCAACCTAATTGTAAATAGTTTTACCTTTATATTATTGTTACTCTGTATTTTAAGTTGGTTGTCATACTCGTAAATTGTAATTGGAAACCGAAGGAGGACAAACAGAAAAGAGAAAGATGATTGGCGAAGAATGAGAATATTGGAAAACATTGATCATTCCAACACTTTCCTCACTTTCACCACCGTCACTATCAACATAATCGTGATCACCATAATTTACTTTAATCATCACACCAAACCATCAAATTGACATTTAACGCAGTTTTTTATGCACAGAGATTAATTATTATTGTACCTAATTTAAGTTGATTCTATATTTGTAAATGAATCCTTTTTTTATTTTGTCTTCCTTAACTGCTATTACTCTACATCAGCACATCGGAACACTGATTCATCTTGCTGATAACTGTTGGAAATCTCAATAACAATGTTTCACTCTTTGAATACTGACAACAACAAAATCAAACGATACAGCAAAAGAAGAAAAATTAATGTAAATTTTTGTCAATTATCACATGTTGATACAAACACCAAGCATTTGACTGTCGTCAAACTATTGAATGCAGAAAAGGATTCACAGCTTTTATTTTAATGCAATGAATAAATTGTGTGATAAAATAAACGCATACTTTAGATTAAATTGTAATCCTAATTGATTGGAATATTTATTGCTATTAAGAAACAAGTTACAAAACTCAAACTATTAGAGGAATCAAACCATCTACGAATGATTAACTGACCGATTGTTGGTTGTTTTCATTTGTTTGCCTGTGTAAATATGATGATATCAGTGAAGATTCACCGTTAAATGCATCTGCAGAAAACTTATCTGATGAATGTTTTTTTCCGCAAAATTTTCCAAAATCTTTCCAATCATCTAATCAATTTAACGAAAGACGAAAGGTCAATTCAAAGTTAATCTTTGAAATTGGATAACCAACAATTAAAGAAAGCAACATAAACAAAATTAACTCTTGAATAGATAATTTTAAGCGTAAGTTATAAATGAACCTGCAAATGTAATATCTAACCACTAAGTGCCATTTGCTTTTTTATACGCAAAATTTTCTATCTCTCCAATCATCCCACTTCAAAACTTCCCACTCGAAATTTAAAAGCGCTAACTTTAAAGTTACTTTTCCTTTAAGGCTTATTGACTTATTTTGTTCAGTTCCTAGCTTTGTTCTGGTTCTCATTAGCAATTTTAACGAGAATAATTAATTGAATTTTCCACGAGAATCAAATACAAGAATTGAGATAAAACTTCAACACACGGAACGGTTCAACTCTGGTTTGCACGTGAAACAGTTTAAGAGCGAGGAGGAAAGATAAAAGAAAGACAAAAATCTCTTCTTCCACCAAACGCGTGATATTAAAAGCAACTTTACACGTTTCAATTTTTCACTCTTTCCTTATATCACTGTCTATCTGTTCATGCTTTTTCCCACATGAGATTACCTGAAATACCATCATCATATTCATCTTCATCAACATAAAATACTTAGAATTTATTTTCTCTCTTTTTCTCTCTTTCTCCATGAAGGTTATTGCTCAGTATTTGTTGCACTTCTGGTTCGATATTGTAACCAGATTTTCGAGATTTTCATGGTTACCTTTTTTCTTCATCCTTTTCACTCTTTTTTCCCCTTCATCTGATAAATTGATCATCTTGAAATAAACTTGGGATTTATTTGTCTTCTCACTGTCCTTATCCATCAAGAAGATGATACTTAATCATTCTTACCTCAATCTTTTAAGTGCATGCTTACGAGGCCATCGTCATCAAATAGTTAAATGAAATCAATGCAATAAAAAAATCTCTGAATTTGTTTGGGTTTACTTTTATTCATTGGACACCATTTTTTTATCAAGAAAAAGTGCAAAGCAAATTGGAATAAATTGAGATCGTTTTGGTTTATAAAAATAAAATAATTTAATTGACATAATTATCCTCATTTTGTTTCTGTTTGATAATATGATGAATCAAATTAAAATTTTAAATGAGTGATGAAAAAAGAAGATGAAAGTTGTGACTTAGATTTTGTTTTGTTTACAAAAAAACCCGAGAAAAAGATGACATGCTTTGTATAGCTTTTTTTAGGGATTAAAATGGTTGATTAAGAGATAAACATTTAATATAAAACCAATTTAAATACAAATTACAGACTATAACTAAGTAGGGTAAATGATTGTGGTGACTCAAAATTTTGATGATATATAATAATGGATCCTAACGATTTATGAGCATTTTTCGCAAGTTTTTAACAATTATTTCATTTTTGGTTGGGTTACCTGGTAGGTTGCCTGACGGCTACAGCGGCTACTAAAGCTGCCCCTCTACCACTACCGTCTTCAGATAACATCAGGTCGAATTTGTACTCTGGATGAACAAGGTCAGCAATTTTTCTCTCCATCAAGTCATGGAAGTGAGGATGATAACGATACACTGAACCATCAACTCCAACAGTTGTGTGAGGTCGACGAATTTTGTTGAGAATGGTTGCAACAGCCGCAGACACTAAGTATGCTGCTCTTGTTGAAACTCGTGCTGAGACCAACTTTAATGCTTCACAGTCTTCGTTTGAAACGTTAGTCAAATCAAGCTCTTCAAGAGCCTTACGTGTTTCAGTATAACTGTGTTTAGAGTCACTTTCAATGAATGAAATGTAGGCTGTCTTGAAGCCCCAGGGTGTGAACAACTTTTCTGATCCTTCTCCTTCAAAAATGAGACCTCTGCGTGTTAAATCGGCTAGAATAACTCGACAAAGTTCACCCATATACATTCCAGAAATCATCTTTTCAAATCTGAATGAGTCAATAAAAATAATAATCATTAACTTAAATAAAATACAGGACAAGGATGGGGGAAAAGGATCAATCAGGGTCGACGGATGTGATAGGGTTGAGGTAAAATTTAAATTAAATAATAATTACAATTGCTTTCCGGGATTGAGGGAATTGACATCGATTTCTTCATCCCATTTCGTTCGAATGAAATCTAACACTCCGTTGTCACCGAATGCACCCCATTCAGTATTCACTATAACTTGACGTGGATCATCTATTTCCTCATTCCAAAGTTCAACGTTATCGAGAGTTTCCATATAACATGCGTTAGTTCCAGTACCTAGGGATAATTTAAGGGAAAAGAAATAGCAACATTAATTTTCAAGTCGGAATTTTAAGCAGTGAAGGAAAAGATAAACATTGCATTGTAGAGAATATAAGAAAGGAAAGAATTAAAAGTTTATTAAGATGCTGAGCCGAAATGTATGCCTCAAGAGACTAACACACCTAAATCAACTAGATTTAAATTTAAAGTATACATCAGTTATGACCTTAAGGCAGATTAACTTTTCAGAAATCGTTAGTTTCTCTCTAAAGCTTAATCACTCCCTTTCTTTTTACTCAAGTCAATCTTGTTTGTACTTGAAATCGAACCATTCGAGAGAAGGGAGTGTAAATGGAAAAAAAATTTAAATCTTTAAAAGCAAAAGTGAAAAGAGGGAACAATTTTTCCATTTGGGATCAATGTTTAATTCATAACACATGTATTTTTCAATTCAACTCACCTACTATCAATCCTACTCTACATTCACGGTTTTTGTGAGCACATGACATTAAAGTTCCAGTGGTATCATTAACAACGGCCATAACATCAATGTCAACATCCTGTAAGAGGAGTGGGACCAAGAGATGGAAAAATTTCAAAAATGAGAAAATGATTAATAAGTTGATTAAATCTTAAAATGATTCTTTCATCATTAGCAGAGTTTAATTTAAAGTAAAAGCTAAGCAGACCACTGGCTGAGATATCCATCATCCGGAATAAAGAAAACGTGATTAAGTTTAACAGCAATTATGCTGACTGATCATTCTGTCTGCCGGTCACCAATATTTATGCAAAAATAAATTGACAGGATATTTTTAAATTTTCAACAATTAAAAATAAAAAAGATGAAAGTCAGCCAGTCTGCTTTGCCTTGACTTAGAAAACGTCTAACAAAAAAAACAAAAAGTACAATCAGTCAACTTACCGATCGCCTTTTGATGGCATCACGAAGGAGTTGAACAACATCTCTTCCTTCAACTCCAGCACACTTGAAACCCTTAGTCCATTGAACAAGTCTGGCTCGGATTAAGCCTTCCTGAATACACGGGAAACTGAAGGTGAAACCAAGTGGAAGCCGGCAATTTTTCATGTTACGTTTTTCAACAAATTGAGAAAGGCAGGATGCAATATGATCAAATAACTGGAAATTAATGAAGATGATAAAGTAAAAAAAATACTGGTTAACATAAATTGACTTATAAAAATAAATATGAAAGGTGATTGAAGGAAAGGTTTATTCAAGGTTACATACTAATTGGACAAAGTAAAATAGACATTTGAGATAATAAATACAGGAAGGGAAAAGAGCCGAGAAGTGGAAAAAGGGGGAAAATGGAAGGACACACAAAATCGATTAACTATTGATTGATTGTGATCTTTAACGATAGTGAAAATGTCAAAATTAAAATACAATGGGATAACGAAAAGAAAGATATCAAAATGATTCAATACAAACCTGTTCGCCGGTTCCAAGCATAATTTCCTGTGGTATAGCATAGATTTCATTTTCCATATGAAACGCGTCACCATTAATGTCAATTAGAAGGACTCTGAAGTTAGTTCCACCGAGATCCAAGGCTAAAAATTTACCTTCCTCTGTTAGATTGTTAGAATGAGAGGTTGCCAAAGGGTAAGGAGGGAAGCATGGAAAAGAGAAAAATACAAGGGTAAGAGTAAGGTAGGATTGTGAGTTAGAGATCGAGAGAGAGAGAGAGTGAAGAGTGAAAAGTGAAGAGTGGAGAGGAGAGAAAAGAAAAAACAAAAGGTCAAATGAACAATCGAAAAAATGAACCTACCGTACTTACCACGTCCGTTAGGCACATCGCGAACATAAGTGGGGAACATTTTAACCGAGGCGCTAGGATGGGTTTGTTTTCCGAGTCCTTCGTTGAATTCATTTAAAAGGAGAGAAGCAACCTTTTCAAGTTGATCATTAGTTAAAACTAGGTTACGGGTGATGGCTTCAATCTTGGAAAGCTCAATGGAATATGACATTTTTGAATGTTAACTGAGATGGGTAAACTTGACTAAAAAAATACGTTCGTTGAGTGATGGTTGATGAATAAATGAAAAATATTTAAGTCTGTCCGGAGAAGAGGGATTTTGTGAGACTACTTAATAAGTGAGAACCATGAGGAGAGTGAGCGATGTTGATGTTGATGTTGTTGATGATTGTGCAGTGACGAGAGTATGAGTGAGAAGAAGAGGATAGGGGAAAGCAAAATGTTAAAAGAGTGAAGACAGTGAATGTAGAAAGATGATGATGATGATGATGATATTCAAACGTAAGTGTGGTATCGTAATGTTAGTGGTTTGTTAACTAACGTCACTGAGGGGAAAGCCTTGCCTCCTGGTGGAGTCAGACTTGGGTGACTTTAGTGTTCACCCCTCTATGATCTTTCGAGCCTGATCAGGGCTTGTTAGTGCTAGGATTTTGTTATGTATTTTCATATTGTTATTTGAGATGGTTTTAAGTAAGTCTTGCTTAAGTATAAATGAAAGCATGATATGAAGATTGTATCTATTTTTGCGTAATCTTTTAAGTTATCAAGATGTGTAGTCAGAAGTTGATTAGACGTGAGTTACAAGCTCAGCGAAATAACTGGATGTCAGGTTATGGTTTCTCGAACATCTATGAGGTTTTTGTTCGAAAGATTTGTGTTGGACCTGGAATCGAGTTTGATGAAACAAATTTAACTGCTGAGATCGAAAGTATGTTTGCTGAGACTCGTTTACAGTCAAAGATTTGTTATGTTGAGAAGCGAGGTGAGATAAGAGTTGTTGGATTTGCAGGTATGGTTAATGGATCTGCCATAGTTTCAAGATTAGCCGATCGTAATGATTTGGTTGTCAGCGCTCCTTCTTTTACGCCGCCATCAGTGTACTTTTTCCTGGAGGGTGATCTTACCTATTATTGTGTAAAGGAGTTAAATGATCTTTTCTTCCGTGCAAATAATTTTATAAAGGATGGAAACACTTCAATTGTTGGGCGTAAAAGGATGAAAATTGCCGGTTTAGTTTTGACCAAGGTAACAATGAACATTACCGGTAAGAATCGTGAAAAGCTGTTGGATCATGATGGTAAGATTCATTTCAGAACCGTGACTGTTCGTTGTTATGATGATATTAAGCTGGAATTCTGTCTCAATTGTTTGAGATTTGGTCATGGTGTCAATTCATGCAGTAATAAGACTAAATGTGCTGTTTGTCTTAATGAGCATGATGATGTTTGTACACCCAATGGAAGCATGTCAACCTGTTGTACCGTTTGTCCAGTTCATGAGCGTGGTGGTCATTTGACTTTTTCAGTTAATTGCCCTTCATATCAGCGAGCTGTTGAATTGAACTTGAAAAGATATGCGTTAGATTACGATTGGGTTATGGTACCTAACAATATCGTATATTTCTGAAATGATCTTGACCAATAAAGATTAATGAACATGAATTTTTATTGTCCCATTTTATTTAAAACATAATTAGCTTCAAACATATAATTAATCATTTGTAGTGCTTCTAGCAATAGTTTATAATTATTTTCGTGCATTTGATCAATTGACCAGTCTTGATAGTCTGACCTGTTTATGATATTTGAAGTTATATCACACTCCGTAAGTAAATGTCTGTATGGATCTTGTTTAGTATCATATTTACTGCAACAATGAAATCGTGTAAATGGTCTTCGTATCAGGTCTTTGAGTGTTATAGCTCTGTATTTCTTGATTGCTTTCATATTGGGATAAAAAAGCGTCCATATGTTCGAGTCTTTATGCCATGCTTTAAGTATGATTTGTTGCGATTCATGTTTAGCCAGATTATTCAGAGTCATTAGATTGCAGCTTTTGTATATTAAATTTGTTTCCTGATGAACCCATTTTGGTTGCATCCAGGGTAAATGTTTGGACCATGTCCATGGCTTACTGTAATTGTTGAATAAAATATTTTGGATGGATTGGTTAAATATGCCCTTAGATTGTTTGTATTTTTCCATTAATTTTGTATTAACAAAGGTAAATCTTCCTTGAAACTTCGTTAGTAGATAATCTAGGGTTATAATTTCACGACTGTATTGATTCTCACCCGGAGGTATAACAATTGTATTGGTCTCAGTTACATCACGATCACTTATCCATTGTATTTGTGCATATTGTATGTGATTGATGTTTTTGAATAATAAGATTGCATATTTGGGTTCTATTGATATGGTTTCCTTGTCTTGAATGAGTTTTTCAATAAATGAAGGAGTATTTCTGATAGGGCTCGTAAGCTTCATATAGATCGCTTGTATAAGTAGGGGTTTGATTGGATCATTAGTTCCAAGGATGTAAGGAATACGCCAATGTATTTCAAGTGATTTCTTGCGATTGATTAATCTTGCAATTTGTTTGAGAAACATTTGGATGTAGTTAACAAGTTTTACGGGATCATCTATAGCTTGTATCATGTATGGAAGCTCCGCTTTTAGCACTTTCGGATAAAGAAGAGTTGATAGTATAATGTTTTGTGTGTTGTATTTCAAATATCTGAATGTTATGTTATTGATTGTTGTTCCTTTTACTATAGTTTCTTGTATCCTTTCATCCATACATTGTATATATTTTGCTTTGATTAGATTTCCAGTGGAGTATAATTCATAACCTATCAGTTCAAAGTTGTTACTGGGTCTATGGTTAGGTTCGATGAATAGAGTTTTGTTCGTATTGAGTTTTAAGTTGATTTTTGCCAAGTGACTTGAAACTTGGTCAATGAGTTTAACTGTATCAGTAGGTTCGTCCAGTAATATCACAATATCATCAGCATACGCTAGGCATCTGTGTTTCTCATTAATCTGGGTTAGTATGGGACTCAGAGCTATAATAAACATGATCGGGCCTATTGCTGTACCCTGTGGAACTCCTGTTGTTTCCAGTGAGTATAGTTTTCTTGAATTATGATTCATTGTTAGGTATCTTTCCTTCAAGACAGAGCAGAGCAAACGATAAGTAGAGTTATCCATAATATTTTCAATTTTAATGAGAGCTTGTGTAATATCAACGGTGTCGAAGGCTTTGGAAACATCAAGTTTGATGATTTTATTGGTGTTGCTCCAGTTCCGATGTGTTATGATATCGTAGATCATTTTGGATCGATCGTTGTTTTTCATATAAGCATATTGATATCTTGTATCTACTAGTCTATCAATTTGTGTCAGTAATCTTCCTTTAAGTATTTTATCTATTATCTTAAACATGTAATTGGGTGTCTTAACCATCCTTATTGCCTTTGAGTCAGGTTTGGGTACAAAGCCACAACCAAGCGTCGTAAGAGATTGGGGAACATGAGAATGCTGGAAGATCTGTTGAATAGTTCTAACAATAAAGAAGGTATTCTGTTTATAAAATCTATTCCATGTTATGTTGGTGAAGTCATCAGCATCTAGACTTGAAGATTTGAATTTGAGATTCGATATTTGTTCCAGTTCAGCAAGTGTTAGATCACCTCTGACATTAGAAGGAGAATCCTTATATCTAGGTTTCTCTGTTGTAAAGGTGCTCAGATGATTTTTTAGAGAGTCTTGAGTTTCAGGATTTATCCAGTCTATGTTTAATCTTGGTGGCATGATGTGTCTTCGAATAAATTTCCATTTGGTTTTAATATCTGAGGTGTTATTGAGTATTTTGTCAAGTTTTTCTTTTGTGATAGGCTTGGATATCTTCGATTTGATCCTAGTCGTTATCCATCTCCCCTGTTTATTAGGAAATAGTTTGATGTTTTCACAGTTGATAATAATGGGTGATTGTTTTGACCATTTGTCTTGTATATATTGATGTTTAAAAGAAGATAAAAGTCTGAAGTTATTTATTTTGATGAGTCGTATATATCGTTTTCTGACTTTTTTAATCTGAATATAAGCATATAGAGATTTGTGATCTGTTCCTCCAAATTGTACGACTCCTTGTGATTTTAGTTTAATCTCAGGAGATGCTAGAATAAGATCAATGGTTTCAGATGTTCTTGAGCTCGTAGATATCCTATTGTTATTAACAATTTGAAGTTTATTGAGTATAAGAGCAGAGTAAATAAGGTCACCAAGTGATTTTTTCAAAGTTCTATTAGGAAATGTTACTGACCATGAGGTATGAGTAGAATTGAAATCTCCCATAATGATTATGTTATATCCTCTTGTCCGTGTAATGAATTCCGAAATCTGTAAGATTTGTTGTTTGGCTTCTCTATTTTGTTTTGAATTAAAGTTGCGTACGTATGTCGAGATGATGATTAATGAGTAGTTTGTGAGTTTTATGATGGTTGTTTCCTGTATAGATGTTTTGATTTGTGTAGCTTTGATATCTGAAGATGTTAATATAAGTGTTGATCCATTAGAGAACATATTTTCATTATTGAATAGTTGCGTAGACACAAAAAGGTGTGAAGGTTCATTAACAGATATACAAACATTACTTCTTCGATTAAGAAAGTTATAAAGTTTCCAGTTTAATTGTATTTGCTTGTTTGCATTGATGTGATATAATAACATTGTAAAAAGAAACTTTTGAGTTCGGCAACTTATGATGTTCACTGTTTGATATATTACCTAAGAGTGAGTTACTATTTTAGATTTTTTGAATTTGGTGCTTAGGAGTTGTAATACGACACCTGTTGGCGTTGAATATAGTAAAACGTGTTTTCATAGTGTTATTTGATTCATAAGTTTTGGTTGTAATTTGAAGTTAATAATTATCTTTCATAATGGTAAGTTTTATTTGAGTTTGCGATTATTGGTTTAATTAATTTTCCTCTTTTCCCAGGGTAAATTGAGCTGTATCCCTATTGAATTTCCTGAGGAAATTAAAGCAAGAGTTGATCTAATGGCTTCTGAGGATCATAAGCCAGGATATTACTTTCTTTTTACTAAGAACGTATTGTTCTATCATGATGAATGGGAAGAGACTTTTATCAGAAGTGGTCAGTGTATTTCTTCCAAAGGTGTCAATAAGTGGATCGTTGAGTGTACGCTTATAAATCAGGGAGAAGTTATCAAAAGTTATGGTGGTGGACCTTCCTGTGGTGTTGCTAGTGATGTATGTGCTTACCGTCTACATCAAAGGCTTCATTGGGCTAGACCAGACTATTTTATGGTATGTAATGTTTCCGGGATGCTGGAGAAGCCCCCTTATGGGTTATCCAGTATACCCGGAAAGTTTGTATTTTTATATTGTACAGTTTCGATTTTAATAGTCTGTCTTCTTTCTTTATTTCCTTTTAGCCTAAGTATTTGATAGGTTATCCCAATGTCCGAGGTCACTGTTTTCTGGCTTCAATTTTGGTGGTAATAATGAATTGCCACGCTTT